GGTGGGGGACTGTCCACGTACCTGCTCCTCCAGCTCAGAGTTCTCCTCTCTGATCCGGTCCAGCAGGTTCCGGACGGTCTCTGCAGACCTCAGCTCGCTGCCGAACTCCTTCTCCAGCAGGTCCAAACTGTACTCCTCACGGTTCTTCCCCGTGTTTGTAGAACCAACTTGGTCCACGGCAGCATCTGGTGGCTCAGAMGTAAACTCCGCCATTTTTCCTCATAAGTAGTTACTTCCGGTGTTTGCGTAGTGACGCATTACTGCCCCCTGCTGGGCCGGAGGGGGATGACTTCTGACGAAATGTTTTCATTGTCAAACCAGAAAATAAAATAAAAACAAGTTTTTGTCAAAGAAATTAATATATTCTGATTAAAAAAATAAATCCGTTGACTTGTTGATGAGATATTTTGCTAACAGACAGATTAACTGCATTGCTTATGAGGTGATGCATTTGTATTTGTTGTTTTATGGACTACACAGTAAACAAACACAAATATAATGTGTTGTTCATGACATCATCATTAGTTCTGCTTTACTTAGTGTTTGTGTTTCTCACTCAGCAGGTGAAAGACGGGATTTCTGCTCATGTTAGCAAAATATCTCATCAGAACAGGTGTTAATTTAGCTCTCAGATAATAAACACTGATTAAATCAAACTGATTAAAGACGGCTGCAGCAACAAATTATCAGAGATAAAAACAGAGTTCTAAAGTAACTAAGTACAAATACTTCTTTACTGTACATGAGTACATTTTTTGGGTATCTGTACTTTACTTGAGTAATRATTTTTCAGCCTACTTTTTACTTCTACTTCTTACATTTTCACACAATTACCTGTACTTTGTACTTCTTACATTTAAAAACAAGGCAAGAAGAAGAAAGTCGTTACTTTTATTACATTTTTGTTTGTTTCATTTCATTCTTCATCTGGCTTGTTATCATAAAAATAAATATTATCCATATAAATTGTGCCTCCAGTGAATTTAAATGTGGTTGAACAAGAAGTATGAATATATAAAATTCTGGTACTGTAGTAGTTTGTACACAAACAAATCATGTCGCACTCCAGCAGGACGTAATCATTAAAATAAAAGGACTGTACTTAAGAAGTATTTTTATTTCATGAGTCATATCATTGTATTTGGCTGCAGCCCTCAGATATATATATATAT